TCCACTGAGCCAAACTACCTAGGGCGAGGATAACTCTTATTTAACCAAAATAATCAATGAACTCACATACAGATTATTTCTTAATTTCTTAACATTCCTACTAGGTGAAAACCACAATTTATTTTTTTATTATTTGTTAAAATATATTTTCATTGAGAAAGGGAGGGAGGGAGGAAAGGAGGGAGGGAGGGAGAGAGGGAGGGAGGGGGGGAGAGAGAGAGAGAGAGAGAGAGAGAGAGAGAGAGAGAGAGAGAGAGAGAGAAACATCAATAATGAGAAAGAATCATTGATCTGTTGCCTTCTGCACACCCCACCCCCAACTGGGGATTGAGCCCTCAACTTGGGCATGTGCCCTTGACTGGAATCGAACCCGGGACCCTTCAGTCTGTGGTCTGAAGCTCTATCCACTGAGCCAAGCAAGGTAGGGCATAATTTATTTTTTATTAAATATTTTAAAAACCAGAATAATATAGCAAGTTCATGAACTTGCTATCTAGATTTAATGAATATCAACAGTTGATAGATTTGAGATTTTGAAAAAAGTTAAGGACTATAAATGTAAACCATGGGCTTTCTCTAGTTCTGTGATGCAGCCTTCACAAGTCTCTATCTCCCCCTTCTATTTTTTTCAAAGCACACAAAACTTTCCCACACCCCAGATCTCTTCCTTGTCTCACAGACCCATCTTTCTCTGTTATTTCACAAAAACATTCCTTGAAGAATCTATACTTGCAATGTCTACTTCCTCTTATTTTTCTCTAACCCACTAAAACCTAGCTTTTGTTGGACTCTAATTCCAAAACCTCATAAACCCAACGTTACTTTGGAGGCTTCAGGACCCAGGCTGAAGGTCCTCAGAATTGCAAACTATTATCTACAGACAATGGAGATCTATTGTTTTGACTGTGCAGGACCAGAATGCTAAGAAAAAGGCCTGTGTGGAGGTCAGTGAGCCAGTTCCTAAAGGGAGGGAAGAGGAGGCAGAAGGAAACTTTGCTTTAGACTACCACTTAGGCAAGGAAGAAAAGAATTTCAGCACAGGAATCATAAAAACTCTAGAAGACCTCAAATTCATGAAATAATATATGTGCACTCTATGATATTCACACACAGATGACTAGAGAATATACACCAAAATGCTAACAATGATTGATTATATTTCTCAATGTTAAGGAGAGCATTTATTTTCATATTTATAATAATACCAGTGACCCGTTACATGAAATCGCGCAAGACCTGGGACCCGTTGCCCCCCAATCCCCCCACGCCATAGGACCACCTGAAGTCCCAGAGTCCCGCCGCATGTGGCAGTGCACGATGGGACAGCCGCAAGTCTTGGAGTGCCTCTCTGATGCCCTTTTCCAGGCCATAGAGGGGCCACCAAGACCCCTGTGCCCCCGTGGGGCTGCAGGAACCCCGGTGGAAGCTGCACGGACCGGCTACTGGCCCCATACCCGCTGTGCATGCCGACATCTTATGACAGCATTACGGCATGAGGACCAATTTGCATATTACCTCTTTATTATATAGGCCTAGCAACCCTGTGCACAAAATTTATGCATGCGGGGGGGGGGGGGGGTTGCCCCCAGCCCAACCTGCACCCTCGCCAATTCAGGACCCCTCGGGGGACGTATGACTAAACCAGCAGTCAGACATCCCTCTCACAATCTGGGACCACTGGCTCCTAAATGCTTACCTAACTGCCTGTCTGATCACCCCTAACTGCCCCCCATAATGGCCTGGTCACCACAACTGCCCTCCCCTCGCCAGCCTGGTTGCCCCTGATTGTCCCCCTCCGCCAGCCTGGCCGCCCCTCACTACCCTCCATTACCAATCTGGTCACCCCTAACTGCCCCCTTGCCAGCCTGGTCACCCCACACAACCTGCTATTCAGTTGTTTGATCGCCCCTCATTGCCTCCCCTGTCGGCATGGTCGCCCCAAACAGCCTGCTGTTCAGTCGTTTGGTCATCCCTCACTACCCTCCCTACTGGCCTGGTCTCCCCATGCAGCCAGCTGCTCAGTCGTTTGGTCAGCCCTCACTAATTCCCCTGACAGCCTGGTCACCCCACACAGCCTGCTATTCAGTCGTTTGGTCGGCCTGCCTGGTCGCCCCATATACCGTTTGGTCATCTGTTCAGTTATTTTGGTTGCAATGGTTGCTTAGGATTTTATATATATATTCACACACACACACACACACACACACACACACACACACACACACTGGAGGCCCAGTGCATGAAATTTGTGCACTGGAAGGGTGTCCCTCAGCCTAGTCTGCACCCTCTCCAATCTGGGATATCTCTCTTATAATCCGACTGCTGGCTGCCAACCACTCACCTGCCTGCCTGTCTGATTGCCCCTAACCGCTTCTGCCTGCCAGCCCGATCACCCCCTAACCACTCCCCTGCCAGCCTGATCAACATCTAATTGCTCCCCTGCCAACCCAATTGCCCCCAATTGCCCTAACCTGCTGGCCCAGTCACCCCCAACTGCCATTCCCTGCTGGCCCAGTCGTCCACAACTACCCTCCCCTGCCAGCCATCTTGTGGTGGCCATCTTTGACCACATGGGGGCGGGCCATCTTATGCCACGGCATGAGGGTCAATTTGCATATTACCTCTTTATTATACAGGATAGATACTGGTATATTTACTTAATTTTCTTCAATGAACATGCATTATTTTTTTTTAAGTAAGAAAAAGGGTGCTATTTTTTCCCCCTTAAATAGCAATGGTGTATAGATACCTGTCTTCCAAGGTAACAAAGAAGGATGTTGCCAGGGAGATGCAGCTCCACAGAATACTTGGGAGGAGAAAACTCTGCAGGGTGATTGGGTGTCAGGAGCTTAAAAGAGTTAGCAGGCTGGGTGCATGAGGCTCACTTAATCTCAGAAGAGAACTCAAGGGTACCAGTCTAGCCTGAGACAACCCAGGAAATGCCTAGTGTGAACCCTGAGCCATCTTGTCAGCCGTCAGGCCCCTTATATTCTCCTTTCAAATACAGTGGCAATCTCTTCGCTGTTCTGTCTGTCCCCACACTACCATGACCTCACACGAATGATAACCCCCTACTGGCTCGCTGACTTCCAATACAACTTCCACACCACTGCTAAATGTTCTAAACACAGTGAACACTGGAACATATTTAATATTTCAAGTCTACTTAGAATACAGGATACTCTACGTTTTCAAATGTATACAACCATCTGCTGACCTTGCCCAGAACAATTCCCAGCCCAGACACTAGCCTCAGTACCTGCAGTTCTCTGTCTGCACAGTTTTCCCTGGACTAGAATTTTCTTCCCTATCCCTATCTAGCTGGTAAACTCCTACACACCCTTTACATCTAGCTTCAAAGTCAATTCCCCTGCAAAGCACTCCTAGTCAACTGGCTTCTCCCTCCTCTATATGTTGTAGTGGTTTTGTACGTCTTCTTGCTATCATTTAAATACCTATCTAGCCCTACCTGGTTTGGCTTACTGGATAAAGAATCAGCCAGTGGACTGAGGGTCCAGGGTTCAATTCCGGTCAAGGGTACATGCCTGAGTTTCAGGCATAATCCCCAGTAGGGGTTATGCAGGAGGCAGCTGATCAATAATTTTCTCTCATCACTGATATTTCTATCTCTCTCCATCTGCCTTCCTCTCCGAAATCAATAAAAAATATTTTAAAAAGTACCTGTCTATCCCACTAAACCATATAAAGGTCAAGAACCACATGTCCTCATTCATCTAGAATAGTGCCTAGTGGTACTCAATAAATACTCGATTAACTAAATAAATACATGAATTTGTTTTTATTATAAATATCTATATTTTCATACAATCTCAAAAACAAATTTTAGAAGTGAGAAAACAAAGTTTAAGACCTAACTTTTTTAAAAAAGAAAATAAAGATTAAACCAAACATATATTGGGCAAACGGTAAGAATTCTGACATAGCCTATATAATAAAAAGCTAACATGCAAATAGACTGAACGGCGGAACAACCAACCAACCAGTCGCTATGACGTGTAAAGACCACCAGGGAGCGTGTGCAGAGTATGGTGGGTTTTGGCAGCAGGGGGCAGAGCATGGAACATGGTGGGTGTTGGCTGCAGCAGAATGGTGGAGCAGGTGAGTGGGGCTGCCAGACCAAGGCTGGGTGCTGATTGTTGTCAATGGGGCAAGCCTCTGGTGGTTACTAAAAATTCTTTGCTCCCACGCGCTGCTATCCCACCTGGCATTTGCACCTGTGGCTGGTGCCAGCCCCACTAGCACCCACTGCTGGCTCCCCGCCTGAACCCGATTGCTCGGTGCTGTCAGCAGTGGCTGCAGGCCCTGATTGCCCCTCAGGGCTTCTCCACCTCTCCCTGCTCCTTAGGGGAAATCAGGGCCATCAGCTGCTTCTCACACCCACTGCCAGTGCAGGAGCCCCTGCTTGCACCTACTGCCGGTGCCAGAGCCAGCATTTGCATCCACTGATGGCGCCGGACCTGCTTGCACCTGTTGCTGGTGCTGGCCCCAGTCGCTCCACATCAGTGCAGCGGCAGCAGGAGCAGGAGCAGGGCTACCAGCAGACAGGGGACCAGGGGCCTCAGCAGGAGGGGCCGGGGCAGAGCAACGGAGGATGGGCTGAGACCCATTCCTATGCCCACCACAGCCTCGTGACCCACAGGTCCTTTCAAGGTGCACAAATTTGTTCACTGGGCCCCTAGTTTATAAATATATATATATACACAAAATAATAATAATAATTTGAGGATTATATGTTGTGGAGAGGTTTTTTATTTTTTCCTTTGCATAAGTGGTGGAGGAGCATGGCAAAGTGTCTGTTACAATGCAAAAGTAATTCAATCATGTAGATTCCCTTCTACATCAAATCAGTAAGGATAGCTGATAACCAGGAAACAGGGAAACTTAACATCAATTGCAATAAAACAGAATCTAAACATATTTCTCATTTCCATATAGTTTAACTTTCATCAGTGTCTGACTATTGCCTACAATGAATTTACCTGAGCTAAATTAGGGATTGAATTTTGGCCAGTCTGGGCCTGCATATTTGCAGATTCTCTCTCTGTCAAAGAATCTGTTACACTTCCATCCTGTTGAGATTCAATTGTTTCCATGGTCATTTGTCTGAAAAGACAATAAAAAGGAAGAAATATTAAGGTCTTATCAGAAACATTTCTCTATTTTTACCTATTTTTCTTTTTTTAAAATATATTTTATTGAGAAGAAAAAAAATCCCAAGAGAGAATCCAAGATGGCGGCATAGGTAAACACCTAACTGCAGCCTCACACAACAATTTCAATAAAATACAACTAAAATACAAAATGGATATTACCCAGAACTATAGGAAAGTCAAGTGACTGGAAATTCTACAACGAGAAGGAAAGAGAAAACCAGAAGGAAGATCAGAGGAGCTGTAAAAGCCCTAATTACGGGGACACGTTGCGCGCCCGGAGAAGACAGAGCTGGAGAGGAGGGGCAGCTGAGTGCGTTCCCGACCAGGAAGGAGATAAAAGCTCCGACTGTGCTGAACCCCAGATCCAACAGCACTGAACCCCAGTTCTAGGCCAGACCCTGGGGACCCAGGCTCATACAGAGGGAGCCTGGGCTGTAAGGCGGAAACCCAGGGGAGCAGCAAAAGGAAGTCCCAGAGGAGCGCACATTGCGCGCAAAAAACTGTGCCGCTGGATTGCCCTAGCGGAAAGGAGACAAAAGTTCCAGACTGCTCTGAACCCTACTTCCAACTGAAATGAACCCCAGTTCCGGGCTCACTGGGGGAGAGCCTAGACTCTTTGGTAGCTGGCGAAACTCTAGGACACCTTTCTCTCAGAGGTGCTTGCAGTGAGTATCAAAGGACCCTGAGGAACACAGAGACTCAGGAGCCTCATAGGGTGGGGCTGACAGAAGCCAAGGCTGTAGGCTCCACCCTGAAACTCTGCCGCATCCAATTGAACACAGAGACTTTTAAGGCTACCAACTCAGGGAAGCTGCGAAAATGCCGAGACAAGGAAACAGATCATAAAAAAAAGAAATGGAGGACAAAAAGTGATTGGATATAGAGTTCATAACCACGGTTATAAGGTTTTTCAAGAATTTCTTAGAAAAGGCCGATAAAATAAAGGAGACCTATGAGGATATGAAAAGGGATCAACTAGAAATAATAAGGGATCAACTAGAAATAATAAGGGATCAACAAGAAATAAAGAATACATTCTTTGAAATAGAAAATATTATACAGAGTCCTAAAAACAGAATGGAAGATCACAAGAATCAAGTCAAAGATTTGGAACATAAAGACCCAGAAGACACTCCTCTGCAGAAGCAAGAAGACAAGAGAATCCAGAAAGTTGAAGATAATGTAAGAAACTTCTGGGACAACTTCAAGCGAACCAACATCAGAATTATGGGGGTCCCAGAAGAAGAGAAAGAGCAAGATACCGAAAACATACTGAAAGAAATAGTGACAGAAAACTTCCCCCACTTGGTGAAAGAATTAGAACTACAAGTCCAAGAAGCTACAGAACCCCAAACAAAAGGAATCCAAAGAGGACCACACTAAGACACATCATAATTAAAATTCTAAGAGCAAAAAACAAAGAGAATATTAAAAGCAGCAAGAGAAAAGCAGGTAGTTACCTATGAAGGAGCACCCATACGATTGTCAGCTGATTTCTCAACAGACACCATGCAGGCCAGACGGGAATGGCAAGAAATATTCAAGGTGATGAACAGCAAGAACCTACAGCCAAAAATACTCTACCCAGCAAAGCTATCACTCAGAATCGAAGACCAGATAAAGAGCTTCACTAATAAAAAAAAAAAGCTAAAGGAGTTCATCACCTCCAAACCAGAATTATATGAATTGCTGAAGGGGGTTCTTTAGGAAGAGGAAGAAAATAAAGATAAAAATTATGAACAACAAATACATAACTATCAACAAGTGAATCTAAACACCAAGAGAATTTTAAAAAATCTGATGAACAATATTAACTGGTGAATATAATAGAATCGGAAGTATGGAAGGGGAGTGGACTAATGATTCTCAGGGAAAAGAGGAGTGGGAGGTGTGGGAAGAGACTGAACATAAACTGTGCATCTATGGATGAGGACAATGAGGGGTGGGGAAAGGGGAGAGGGTAGGGTGGGAACCTAGTGGAGGGGAGCAATGAAGGGGGGAAAAAAGAGGAACATTTGTAATAATATGAACAATAAAGATTTATTTAAAAAATAATAAATAAATAAATAAAATAAAATAAAACCCCAACCAAAAATAAATAAATAAATATATTTTATTGATTTTTTTCAGAGAGGAAGGAAGAGAGAGAGTTAGAAACATCAATGAGAAAGTCATCGATCAGCTGCCTCTTGCACACCCCCTACTGCAGACGTGCCTGCAACAAAGTACATGCCCTTGACCGAAATCGAACCCGGAACCCTTCAGTCCGCAGGCCGACGCTCTATCCACTGAGCCAAACTGGATTCGGCTTTTACCTATCTTTCTGATACTCATTTTTGTCATCCAAATATACTAGTTTATTTTTTCAAAAAATAAGTTTAGTGGCAGAGTCCCAACTCTCCAAAATTACTGTTTCTCCTCTGCTCAGTGAATATGAATTGAAAATGTTTTATAAAAATTAGTTTACCAAAAATGTTTTGAATCTTATAGTAAAGTTTCCTTGATAATTCTTTTAAGCCCTATAATATAAATGAGTGATAAAAATCAGTGTTTTTATTTTACATAAAGTCCATGATTCTCAAGGCCAAATATATCTGCTTTTTAATTTGATGTAGTATGAAAGAACTTTGCCACTGTCCTAATTGAATGCATTATCATCCTATATAGTAAAAGGCTAATATGCAAACCGATTTAACGGCAGAACCAGAACAACTGAACAACTGGTTGTTATGACATGCACTGACCACCAAAGGGAGTATGGAACATGAGGGCATCAATAGCAGTGGATGGTGGAGCAGGTGAGCAGGAGCGCCAGACCAAGGCGTGGCACCAGTCGCTGTCATTGGGGCGAGCCTCTGTTAGTTATTCAAAATTCTTTTCTCCTGCAAGTGCTGTAGTCCCACCAGGCTCTCACACCTGCTGCCAGCACCAGCCCAAGCCCAGCTTGAACCACAGCCAGCACCAGAGCCACTGTTCACACCCACTGCCACTGCCCAGCGCCAGCCCCAATCACTCCATACCCTTAGCAGATGTGAGTGGGGCCGTTGCCATCGATGCATGGGGGCAGCGGGCGCAGGGCAGCCAGCAGACAGAAGATCGGGGGTGGTGATGAGAGCGGCCAGGCAGGAGCATGGAGGATGGGCCGAGACCTGCCCCTGTGCCCACCGCGGCCTCACGACCCACAGTTCCTTTCAAGGTACATGAATTCAAGCACTGGGCCCCTAGTCCTATATAATAAAAGGGTGATATGCATACTGACCCTAAAGGTGGAACAACAGGGAATGACCAGTCGCTATGACATGCATGGACCACCAGGGGGCAGACACAGTGGTGATGGCAGAAGCCTCTCCCACCTCCGAGGCAGCGCTAAGGATGTCCAACTGGGAGCAGTGGGTGGCAGTGGAGGTGCTGCTGGCTCCGATAGGCCCTGATGAGAGTGGGATTGTGGGAAATGGTGAAACAGCTGAATGGGAGGTGCCAGGCCAAGGCGGGTGCAAGCAGGGTCCCCAATTGCCCTGCTGATCACCCCAAAGCCCCAAAGACAGCAACCAGTGGCGCTTGCAAGGTGTGGGGCCAGCAAGCAAGCAGCACCAGGCCAATGCAGATGCAAGGAGGGGTCCCAATTGCCCTGCTGGTTACCCCAAAGATGGTGACCGGTAGCAGGGGCAGGGGGCGGGGCCAGCAAGCAGGCAGTGCCAGGCCAAAGCAGGTGTGGGCAGGGACCCCGATTACCCTGCTGGTTGCCCCACAGATCAGCCTTTATTACTGGCCAGTCCTAGGGACCCTACTAGTGCCCAAATTTCATGCACCGGGCCTCTAGTTATAATACAAAGGTGTATCTAGCTTTGTCAGCACTAAGTAGTTTCTGATAAACAAGCCTCTCAAATTAAATCAGTCAGAATTGACCATCTATCCTACATTTCCCCAGTTACTTAAAGAAGAGAATCTTTTTTTTTCCGGGAAAATCTTTTGTATTATTGTTTTCAATTTAAGTTAATGATTTCTACATGAATCTTTCAAGATAAAAGGTAAACCTTATCAAAATAAATTTTACCCTACTAAAAATTTAAAATGCAAACAAAATAAACAAACTCAATTTTTTATTTCCTTTTTAAAAAAATATACACCTTTTAAAAATATATATATTTTTATTGATTTCAGAGAGGAAGGGAGAGGGAGAGAGAGATAGAAACATCATTGATAAGAGAGAATCACTGATCAGCTGCCTCCTGCACGCCCCCTTCTAGGGATCGAGCTCGCAACTGGGCATGTGCCCTCGACTAGAATAAAACCCCAGACCCTTCAGTCCACAGCCAACTCTATTCACTGAGCAAAACCAACTAGGGCTATTGTACATCTTTTAATTGTCAGTAATATAATATCCTTGTTTTCCGTCTTTGAGGTCAAAATATGTATCCAACAAGTATGCAGACCACTTACAACTTTGAATAAAATGTCCAGATCTTTTTGCCAGATCTAATTCGTTGCCAGATCCTACAGATCCTTCAGTTACAGTCTTTCACTTCATACCTTCTTTTGCATTTCAGCAGCCACTACCTACCTGAATCCAAGCCTTCCTTTCTCAAACCTGTGGGCTATAGTCTATGCAGCGGTCACCAACCGGTGGTCCTTGGACCACAGTGGGCCAAAAGGCTGGCGACCCCTGGAGTAGCAGTTGAGCAACACTTGTCAAACGCAGTTGACCACTAAAAACCCTTTTCCACAAAGCATGTCCTGGAAGTATTTTGGAAACAACTTGAGAAATGCTGTCTTAAGCTATTTCTTACACCTTTATTAAAATTCTCCTAAGGTTCTGTCAGGAATTTAAGTCTCAACTTAAACATTAATTACTGAAGAGCCTGCCCAAGAAAACTCTATTCACTTTAGGAACATTCATTTAGCACCATCTACATGACAAGCCTGAAAATACAAAAGTGGGTTAGTTACAAC